TGATAGGACAAGGGGTAATGGCTTTAAACTGAAAAAGGGTAGATTTAGATTAGATATAAGGAAGAAATTCTTCACTATGAGGGTGGTGAGGCACTGGAACAGGTTGCCCAGAGAATCTGTGGATGCCCCCTCCCTGGAAGTGTTCAAGGCCAGGTTGGGATGGGTTCCAACCCAAACCATTCTATGATTCTATGATTCTATAATTTCCAATTATGCCCTCTTCTTTTCTAGGTGAAAAGAGGGAATCTAATAGTGTCATATGCTGCAGGGAATGAAAAAGAGTGAATACGGGTAACAACTGGCATTTAACTGCTTTTCTAATGCAAAAGTCAATAGAGTGTTCTTAAAAATTACTTTCAGTTTAAACACAATGTCAGTTATCTGTTTTTCTTTCCAGGGTGAGAGTGGAATTAAAATTTAATACTCCCATTCTGAAAAAAATACAAACTTGGTTTAATCTAATTTTTTATTCCCATTATGTTCAAAAATTAAGTAGAAGTTACAGAAATCTTTCCAAAAGCATGGAAGAATTCTACTGATAAATTATAGACTTTCACTAACTTTTGTGCTATAAATATAAGTTTCTATTACAATTAACTTTAGAAGACTAATATCAAAAATCTGTGTCTGAAATAGGCCTGAAGGACATAGTTAAAATATATACTTGACTGTCTCATAACACAAACACACTAAATAGCCAGAGTTTTAATCTAGGGAAGTATTATTGACCAGATAATACTCTTCTAATATGTTCCTGGCAAAAAGTAGAAAAATCCACTGACAGATCATTACAAACACAAAATCAAACTAAGCAGATAGCATCTATTTAGGAGCTGTCCCTTACTCTAAATTATGCTAATTCTCTACAGTCTTTAAGCATATTCTCTCAAGCAGCTTTTCAAGTACGGAACCTTTATAATAAATTAACCTATAACTCTCTAATCCTTCAGTATTTCTGCTTCATAACTGTATCACTCAGGACCACACACCCTTCTGTGATCCTAAAAGGAATGACTTGCAACTAGCTTTCAACTGCACACCTTTGAGATGCTTCTCAGCGTTGTTTAGTAATTACCCTTGAAAGCCCCGGACTTTACAACATGATATTCTGACACAAATATGACTGAGGTAATAAGTGACATGCCTTTGAGGGTTTTTTCCCAGCAGACACAAAGGACAAATATTATATAAGAATATAACATAAAACCTGCCTTACTGAGTCAGACCAATAGTTACTAGCCCAGTATCCCATCTCCAACAGTAGACAGTAACAGATGACTAGGTAAGAGTATAAAAATAGAGTTATCATGTAGTGAAACATCCCCCAAATACTCTCAAAGTCTTCAACAATCTACCTCCTGAATCTTTTTTAGTTGCGATTTACCTTTTTTGAGGAGACCAGAAGTGCACACAGAATGCAAGATGCAGGAGCACCATCGATACTTATAGTTGTATAATGTGTAATTGCACTCTGTTTTTTATTCTCTGTTCCCCTCCTGACAATTCTTTACATTCACTTTTGGTTAACTGAGCACTGAGTTGACAATTCAGTGGAACAAACCACCACTGCTCCATCAAGCACAGTCAGATATTGTACTCTACTGTGTTGAAACTTCAAACAAATATTGAAGAAAGATTTTGGGGTCTTTAAAAAGGCAACAGGTGCATTGGAAATACATATATAGAAAATATATCCAAAAATCAGGGAAATTTTACAATAATAAGCAAGAGATACAAATCACCAACTCTCACTGGAATTATTTTGTAAAAGATTTTGCTACTTTCTAAATAGCTTCCAGTAAAATATGATTAAAAATTAAAGTAGCACAGAAACATAATGAAACAAAGATTGTGATTGAGCCTTTTCTGTTTTCATATGACTTACTTTGATCTGAGCGAGGGAATCACCAACTTTCAGAAGTTTTTCATTGTAATACCACTCTGGCAGTCGAGGCTTATATTTGATCCAAATATTAAACAAAGTATTTGCTCTAAAAAAAAATACAGGAGAAAAGGTTTCAGATTAAACTGGCAGTAGACCTGTCATAACAAGTAAACAAGTCAGGAAAACTTCAAATTGTGAAAACCCCTTTCTTCCAAATCTATTTGAACTTCTACGTAAGTGCTCATTAAAGCTGGATTTAACAAGCAACCAAGGACATTTCTGGGTTTCATTTCTGTCACCAGTTTTTATCACGCATTTAAAATAGGATGAATTTTCTCCTGTGTAAATTCTTATTTAAATGTCTTAGTATTAATCCTTTTGCATTGTTCAAACATGGTCACAAGTGGAAAATCTGTCCCACCTTTCAACTAGTATTTGAGAGGTTCTGTTTGAAGAAACAATTTGATATTTTAAAGAAACTCAATGGATTACAGCTCACAGCAATTATTGCACTGGAAACTACAAATGCTAAGAGCAGGAAAAAAGATTGCAAAATAACAATGCATGTCAGCTAGCAGCAAACTTGGGAACAGGTAGCCATGGAATAAACCATAGAGCTATAGAGCATATAGAGCTATACCATGAATCACAAAAGAAGAAAGTCATTAGAAAGCCTGTAGGATGAACTTCATTTGGCATGAAATGTTCAGGAGTTTTAAATCCTAAAGGGTAGGATTCAGAGAGAAGCAAATGACACATCTGTTAAAATAGAAAGGATTTTATGGCAACAGTTGCAATGCTATTCTGTTGCCTCTGCCTGTTATTCTAGCCACAGTTGTCATCAAGGATGACTTTGTGTAACAAATTACTTATTTGGCTGAACCAGCAAGCCTCCCATAAACGGTAACTGGCTCTAAGCAGCTTGCCTCCTCTACAGAGGAACTGACTACGTCACGCCGGTATTATAGTCCCTACTGATTGCTGTTTGATGGGTTAGTGCCTTCATGTGTACAACTTTCCCACCCTAGACTTCTTCAAGAAAGCTATGTTCGAACTGGAAAACAATAATTGATCAGACAGACTGATAATAAGCACAAGGATTTTTCAGAAAAGAATCCTGTTACCAAATTTTTAATAGTATTGACAGTGTTCACATTTATTCTCTTAACAAATCACTTGTACAGAAACCTCAGCAAAGAGTGCCTTGTGAAACCACAACAGCTAAATTATTCATAGGTAGCAATTTATGAGGAAGGAAAACAACTGAAGAGAGAGGAATTAATGTTTGAAAATAACCTTCTGGCTGAATTCTTACATGTAAACCTTGTGCTTAACTGGTGTGAGGTAGCTGGAACTTTTCAATCTCTTAAGACAGTGATGGTAGACTAGAATGCAAGACATTTTCTTAAGCTGTTTTCTGACATTCAGGAACTTGGAATCCATTCTCACAGCCTCCCAGACAGCTCATCATTTCAGCTTATAAGAAGATTCCCAATAAAAAAAAGCACAATAAGTAACATCATTTTTTCCACGCAGAAAGCTGTGAGCCACCTTCACATTTCAAGGTGAAACAGATGGCTGTATGAGAAACCTGTCAAAATTATCTTTACACCAAAGAATTACAACAATCATAGTCCTTTTTTTCTAAAAGTATCATCTCAGCACAATTCTCAGTTCTTGAAAGTAAAGAGCAAAGAAATAAGTAGGACATTCTAGAGGTGTATCCTAAAGGAAAAATGCAGTAACAGCACAAACTAGGCCAACAGCAACAATCTGAATAAAATGTTCTAAGGCATTATGTTTTTAAAGGAAACCATAGCCCAGTTTAATGAAGAGCACCTTCTAAATGGGGAGTGAGTCCCTCCTGGTCCATCCATAAGCAATTAACAGTCTGGGTGGCTACTGACTTCTTATACTGAGAGAAGTATCCCACTCCAGCTAGTAGGGATAAATCCGCAAAGAGGCTCCAAAGCAAAGGAATCTGTCAGGCATCTGAGTAGAGTTCCCTTGGACTATCAAGGGAAGCTTAGGAAAAGACTTCCAGAGTCCAAGAGCCTTGATGGATACTACTGGGGGAGGAGGGAGAAAGAAGGGGGGAAAAAAGGTAATTATCAGGTTGTAAGGCTGTAAAGTAACTGATAGTAAGAATGACTGTGAATAAAGCTCTGGAAGGTGAGACTAATAAACTTATTTAAGACTGATCAGCTGGAAAGTTCCCAGTGAAGGTCACCTTCATTTTTTGTTTTGAATGCTCGTATTGATTCTTAGGTGTAATAAATGAGTAACAAATCTGTAATAAACTAGTTTAGTAAAGTAGTGACAAATCTGACTAGACTTTAAACTTCAATAGGAAGATTAAGGTAAACTCTATCTGCTACAATGCCATGACTAAGTACAAGTGAGTTCATGACACAGGAATGTTTCTTTGACACAGACAAAGGAGGAGAATGAGACACTTCCCTAACAGCTCATCAACCTTTCCTTTAAACAGGCCGTTAAGACACCAGAATAACAAGTTAAGCAAGTGAATTCTTAAAAAAATACTGGGCTGTCGGAGCTCAGAGGTGAGGTTTCTTCATTTCCAACCATGCTATGAATAATAAAAAAAATTTCCCTAAGGTCAACCCACAATAGTGTGCACAGGGTAAGGCCCATATGGCTATACTTCTGGGCCAAAAGTCTTTACTACAGGTAGTAAAGGATTCTCTGATACTGATCAAAAGATGTTTTGTTAAATAAGGGTGGCTAAGCCACACAACATGAGATAAAATCAATAGTTCAAGGTAATCCTTTTATGGCCCCATTGCCAAGAGAAACGGGGTAAAACAACTCCTCGTTTAGTTGCGGGAAAACCACTTTTGATTGTTACTTCTTCTGATTGAAAACATTCATGATTCCAGTACAGGGCAGGTCCTCAGTAACTGTTGTTTCTTACATTAGAACATTGTAAGTGCCTAAATTACGGCCTTACTGTTGACTTATCAATACCAAAGGCTGACAGCATTGGAGGAATGAAGCTGACTTAACTGAACATACTTGCCATGTGGAATCTGGTTTTCTTGCTCCTCTTATAACAAGAACACTTTGATCTCAACCCATGCCAGGAAAAGAAGCTTGACAAATGACACAGCAAGAAGTCTTTAGAGCATTTAGGAAGGCACCATTACCTTCAGAAATTCTTAGGAACAACTAGACTAAGGCTGGTTCTGCAAGCAGCACATGCTCCAATTTTGAGTTATCAAACAATGAGAGGCAAGGGAGAAACAACCCTGAAATTTCATAATCACAAATAAATATACATGACTTTGCTAGCTGCCTGAACATATGCTAACAATCAGAATTCCAGTCTTCTACCTCTGTACTGCCCCTATACAAATGAAGAATGCGGAAGGATGCAGAGCTACTGGGAGCTTCGTGTTACACAATGTTCTCAATGCCCTGGAGTTTTGGTATGGATCATCACTGCCAGTGACTTCTGGGATCAAGAACCAGGTAGCATTAGTTCTCATCTCCATGATGAACGCTGCAGAATTCTTTGGATGAGAAAATGCTCTCATGCCAACTGAGTTATGTGTGGACATGGGTCACATCTACAAAATAACAGTTTGAAAAGACAGAGCCTACTCAGGTCAAAATATTCCAGAGGGCAAAGAAAGGTTTGGAGACATTGTTCATAAAAACTGATAACTCAGCATGACATTTGCAGACAGATCAGATTCAGCATGCCCAACTCCCAACCAGAAGATACAATGAATGTGTTCATTACCAGCAATTTTGGTGGTGTCTGAAGCAGCTGAGTGGCGTTCCTTCCTCTAAGGGGCCTAAATGGGATAACTTTCAAAGTAAGAATACGGATCAGCTAAAGCAAAAAAAGGTCTGAAGTTATAAATGAAAGGCTTAAAAATAACAAAGCACTGAAATCAGCTGCTGAAGCAATACAAAAAGCCAACATACTGAGATTCAAAACACTAGAGGCAAAAGCCTGGCGACTGATACTTGCATGATAGATCTAGGCCTAGACCCGAGGATGAACATGCCACATAAATAAATTAGAAATCCAGATGGCTTAGAAAAGGAAAGATCTCCAGTGCAGACAAATGCCAGGCTGCAGTATCTGTGTACCTCCTGAAAATGTATACAGCCCCTTCAGAGAAGGGTCATTTGTGGATTACATCTAGGGAAGTACCGAGTGAAATATGCAAGGGTAGAAGCTGCAGGCAAGTGATAAGCTAACCACCCTGTAACCTAACCCTGTGCTGTTTTTGAATGAAATTCTGATAACCTGGGAAACTTTCATTTTTTATGTTAAAGACCTGTAAATTTAGAATAGGACACTGCTCAGATAATAATGATAGAAAATCAACCATTTACCTTAAAAGAAGCAGTTGAACTTTTACCTCATAATGTACCTAAATGCAGTAGGAAGAGCTACATGAGAAATGCACAGTCTATAAAAGACATATGCATGCACTATGAATCATACACTGATTCCAGTTGCTCTGTCTTAACTGCATTACAAAATCTAGATTTATGCATACCCACAGATATGCATGTATGCGAGCAAACAAATATGCACAATTATACTTGCCATATGCTCTGCCTGCATCTACGTGTATAAAATTATACCAACGTAGACACAGACATATGCACAAAAAGAGCTGTGTGGTGTTACCCTCATGTAGCCCTACTGTGAGCGCATCTTTTAGAGGCACGTATGTGCCCACACGCATTCACCCTCGCACACAGTAGCACACGCTGCTGGGCTGCCAGTTGCTCCAGCACTGTGAAGGGATTTTCCTACCAGAAAGCTCAGGCAGCTCTGATACAGCCACAGGGGTGCTGCCAACTTCCACACCACCTTCTACTTTTCCCCCTAAAGCATTAACTTCTAGGAAGTGCTGAAAAAGGAGGTGTTCAGATTTTGGAGGGTTTTTTTAAAAAAAAAGGAAAACGGATTGCCGGTGTTTTGGCACACTGCTGGAGATGCTGACCCAGGAGAACAACCTCCTGGCTAGCTCCCAGGCCAGGGGGAGCGGGAGGGCTCCCTGGCTTGTGGGATGCGGCGTGAGGAGAGAGCCGGGAAGGAGGGAAGGGGCCAGGCGGGCG